GATTTTCAAGCATACTTGGGACTTAAACTAATCTTTGATCAGGACAGTCTCTATAACATGTAGTGCAATCCTTTAAAGAAACTTTTTAAAGGCTAAATAAGCATATGGAAAAATATTAACAATGGTTGTCTCCGAGGAGGGGGTTCTGAGTGATGCTTTTCTCGTTCACTTTGCATGCCTCTGTTTTAAATAATGTGACATGTATCACTTGGATAATCAGAGTGAGAACGTATTCTCAAGTTAGAACTGGTGGGATATGTAAAAACCCAAAGCAGATAAAATGTGACTGATTAGATTAAATGCAGGTAATTACTTAGCCATGAAATTGCCCTGCCCAATTAAATAAGCAGTCATTACTGTAAATGTATGCTTTACCATGGATTCTGCTAGATAAACTCCAGCACAGCTTTTCATGCTGTTGGAATAAAAGCCTGTATGTGTTGCAGACAAACTGGATTTTACTACCATGTGGGTAGCTATGCCTACCAAGCTCTTATTTTTATTTCCAAATTGTTTCTTGAGATAAAAGCTGAAAGAGCAGCTCTTGCCAATCTTTAAACCTTTTTATCTAAAACTATTTTTCCCTTTATGAGAAATATAATAAAGTCAAGATTTCAAATTCCTGGCTCCATTCAACCGTAGCTGCAAATGAGGTAATTGTCTATGTCATTTTCTTCTAATGCCACAGTCTCCAGGTTAGACACTGGGGTTGACATCCTGTGTCACTTGCACAGTTTGCACGTTGCATCTGTAGCTGACTGTTGCTGCCGCACAGTGCTCTTCAGCACAGTCGTGCGCATGTGCAGGTGTGCGTGGTGTGTGTGTGTGTGTGTGTCTGTGCATGTGTGCATGCGCGCATGTGCAAGCACGCGTGCATGGTGTGCGTGGGGTATATGTAGGTTTGGGACAGTTTGGTGGGATTCTCAGCAAGGAAAGTACTACAGAGCATGCCATCCTCCCAGCTCTGGAGCCTTGCAACAAGCTTTCCTTCCTCACCCCTCAATATTCTTTGGGGCTCTGCAGGAAAGGGAGTATGGGCCTCCTCACAGCTCCTGTCCCTGGCACACAGTGGTACCTGGCACACAGTAGGGCCTCATAAATGTACTTGCTGAATGAATGAAACTGGAAAACCCTTACAGAACACCCTTAATAATTTTAGGGTGTTCCCCTATCATTTCTCTGACCTCGATACCCATCCCATAACATACCAGAATAATTCTGTTCCCAAATCAGAGCTACACAAGGACCCAAACACATACAATCTTGACACAGTAAGAAGGCGTGCGTGGACAACGATGGCAGGGTCTTCATTTCAAAGCTACACGCGGGGGTCTATCGAAGACACGTCCTGCTGTGTGAGCTTTCAGCAGATGTATACAATCACTAACCTAGCTTTTCTTGTTTCGAGTCTTAAATGTTTTATGCTTCACTTTAATTGATTATATCAAGTTGTCATCAGTCTGCCCCTAAACACTATGTAATTACACAGTCATATCATCCACTTAAGGCTTAGTTCTCTTCTTGTTTGGGGAGAAAAAGAATGAACATTGTTATTATAGATTTGCCTAGCTGCGTATTTGAAGCAAGTCAATTGATTTCGCAAGAGAATATTTAACATCTAAGACCCTTGCCCCTTGTTATGTACCACTGAGTCAGATTTCTTCTCAAGATTTCATTTTATGACCAAGGGGGAGAGGGTGCAGGAAACACAGTGTTTTCTTGGTTACAAAAACTGTCTTCTTTAGTAAAACGGTATTTCAAAGATTCTTATTTTACCCTATTTAAGTGTTTTGGCCAATTTTGTTGGGTAAGCTCGCATTTGGAAATTTAGTTTTTCTTTCTTTCTTTTTTTCTTTTTTTTCCATTTTGCTAGAATTCCTTGGATGAAAGGGAATAGCTCAAAAGTGCCTTCACCTTTCAGTAAAGTCAACGAATGCTACACAAGTAAACGGAATGGGGGGTAGAACATCTCCCCCGACATCAGTTCCAAAACTTAAAATCAAATATTTCCATTAGCAAGGGGAGTCTGCACTTTGCTGTGCATTAAAGCACCACTTATTCTGGAATACCTCATGCTAATCTGTGTTTCTGGAGCCGGATGATTTTTGTGGCTTTTCATCTAAGCAAAGAAAACAGTGATAACGGACGTCTTCCAGCTGCATACCTCCGTGACATTCAATAGGTTTTATTTGGATTAAGAAATTCAATTGTTTTCAGAAGTGGAAGGAGAGGAAAGTAAAACTGACGTGTATACTTTTATGCCATTAGATTTTGAACTTGAGTCCTGCTCTACATTTACAGTTTAAAAAACAGCAAAAACAAACAACAGGCTCCAAGTCTGGCCAGAGCCTAATTTACTCACCAGTAGGACATAGGGGTGATTTATGACTTGCAATGAGTTGAAATAAAAGTAACCAACAAACTGAACAAAGACTGGAGGCCAAACATCATAGTTTTTCTATGTCATCCTTACACAGAATCTTCCTGAAGGCCTCGTGTACTTTTTAATCTTATTAATGTGACTTGCTAGTGTAACTATCTATAAATGATGTCTGAAACTATACTCAAAGTTTGTCACAAATACACTCCTGACCCCAGAAAATCTGTTGTTACCTAACAATTGCTACCATAAACAGACAAATAATGTCCTAGGGTTAGTAAAATAAGATGCCTAGGTATCAGGAAAAAAACCATTAAGCCATTCTAAGAAGATTTTAGGTAATTTCCTTCAACTCATAACTACTAAAATATACGATTAAGCTCATCTGTCACTACAGAATTTTTAAATGCTTGTAAAACCTCCTATAGAGTAGGACACATTCATCAAGCCATTCACTAGGGTTAAGACGATCAATACCCATTTTCAGTTAAAATTAACATGAATCGGGAAAAATCAGGAGGAAAAGGAGAATACTCAATCATTTCCTGGTGCTTTACGTTATCCTAACGAATTATGACAAGCCTTTCTTAAATCCCAAGGATTTATACGTTGAACCACCATTCCATCTGTTTATTTTTTGTGCTAGAGTCCAACACTCCCTGCCAGATCCAAGGGGATCTGTGAGCAACTACAGCATGAATAATTTTGCCATTGCAGATTCACTTTGAAATTGGGTCATTTTTTTCAGGGTATCCATGTCATCCAGTTAGAATTTGCAAACTGCCTTTTTTCTCTTATATCCTCTTCATCACCATGCACAGGGTCTGAGGCGCCCCCCCCCCCCACTCGGGTTAAAGTGCAGACTGACCCCTTCCTTCCTCATCACAAGGTTCTCCTTCTAGCACAACTGGGTCAATCTCTAATCCCGAGAAGTTCAGGCCAACACAGACTCAAATTGGGAGATTTGGGGCTACACTCACAAGGGTATACTGGGGCTTCTATTACTAACTATTAGTTACCATTCCAGCTTAGACTAGCGGGCAGGGTAGGAAGTATAATTACAACACCCGTCTCTGAAAGGAGGGAGAAAGCGTTCAGAACTAGCCGGTCCACGATGCCTATGAGGACCGCTTCTGTAGTTCAAAATGCAAAAAAAAAAAAAAAAAAAAAAATTCTGTTTATGCCCAATTTTCAAGTAATCTCTCATGTTAAAGTCATTTGACCATCCTGCCATTTTTGTTTGCAGATATTACAACAGATTTTTTTTTAGGGGGACAATTTTCTCTGTTTCATCTCTCTCACTCTTTCTTCTGGTGTGTGTGGCAGCTGCTGTTTGATCTGTTCATTGGCTCTGATTTGTTTCATGTTTCAGCCAAAGATTAAAACTGCTCTGTAATTCTAAGCAGATGGGCCTAGGAGTGCAACCCTATAATTATACCTTCTCTCTTTGGCCCTGGAACTGCAAGCCTTCCATCCTGACTTTTAAAATCTGGGATCACTGGGGCTTGCAGACACACCTTGGCAATCAGGCAGGTCTGGCCCCACTGGACACCTTAGCAGGGCCTGGAGCTGTCTGCCCTGAAGCAGGACTACAAAGCAAAGAGCCACTTCCATAGCTCCAGGATTCACTGGCTCCTGCCTTTCTAGATCATGCAGGGTGGGGGGCTGCAGTGGGGTGGGATGGGGGTCACAGTCTGGTCTGGGTGCTAGCTACATACAAGTGCATCCATGCATTCTGAAGCTCCACGGAGAGAAACTGACTGTCTTTGAGGATGCTCATCTGACCTGCAGAGGTTGGGGAGGCTTGGTGGTGTGGAGGAAGGAGAGCCACGCTCTGCGTGGAGACGCTCCCTTAAATGTCAGGTGGCCACCATTAGGGAAAGTTCGCTCAGGACTTCTCAATCAGCACAACGTGTTCTGCCACCGCCTGCAGCGAGGATCAACACCAATCTCCCACAAAATCGGCCTTATTTTTCTCAGTGCAATTCCTGGAACTCTTTGAAAGAGCTGATGTTCTCCGGCTAAGGTTTACTGGAGCCCCCGAGGAAATGGGGCCCATGAGGCGCAGAAACAAAACCATCAAGCAAGAGTCTGAAGGCAAACAAGGTGTCCGGGGCCGGAGAACCTTCGGAGACCGGTTTTCATAATTACACCTTGACTGTTCAGAGTCCCCTGCTCCTTGAGACTGCACCCAGTCCACTTGGGGGAGAGCCCCACCACCACACCTTCAGCAAACACTAGTCCTCTCCGAGGGCACAGAGAAACGCGCGCGGGTTGTTTTCCCCCTTAAATGACCACGGTTTCGCTTTCCAGCCCCACAAAAGCTTGCACCACATCAAGATCCCCTCTGGCAGGCACTCTTGACACTTTGGAGACCGGATGGCCAAGCCCACGATTTCATGACAGTCCACACTCTGAAACCCCAAGAGCGCGTAAAAGTTTTCCCTGGAACTTGATGCAATCCATTCAGGAGCTAAAAGGGGTCTGTGTGTGAGCTCCGCACCCTTCCAGAAAGCAAGCTCCAGCCGCAAACCAGCTCCGGCCGCCGCCGGGGGACCCGCGAGCACCCTCTCCCGGGAGGCGGGCAGGGGGAGCGGCGGTCGCCCAAGCAGGAACTCACCGTGAAGCAGGAGGGCCGGGAACAGGTACGCGAGCAGGAGGCGGCACAGACCGGACATCTCCAGTCCTCCTCCGGGACCGCCCGAGCCGCCCGCCGTCCAGGGACGCCGCTCCCCGGGAACGGCCGCGGCGCCGCGCGCGCTCTGTCCCCCCGCCTCCAGCCCGGAGGACTCGACGAGGCGGCGGCGCGGGGACACGGGCGGCCGGCCCAGGCCCCGCGCGTCAGGCGGCAGCGGCGCGCCCCATGCCCGGAGGGCGCGGCGCGGGGGCTGCGGGGCGCGCGCTCTCTGGGCGCCGTCGGGGCCCCGCGCGCCCGGCCCGGTCCCGTCCCCGCTCCCGGCCTCCCGGCACCCGGGCCCTCTGAGTCCCTCCCCGGCCGCCGCCGCAACCACCGCAGCGCGCGCCGCTCCGAGCTGCACTGACCGCCACCACCGCCGCAGCTGCAGCGTCTCTTCATATTTCCCGAGCGCCTCCGGCGGGGCGGCCGGGCCGCGGGCCGGGGGAGGGGCCGGGGGAGGAGTTGGGGGAGGAGGCGGGGCGGCACCGCCGGGCCACCGCCTCCCAGACCGCAGACTGGGGGCCGGGGGCAGGGGGCCCGGGGCGCGGAGACTTGAAAGGGCGCATGGGGCACCGCCTCTCCCGCCTCCTTCTCCAGCCTCCTCTCCCACCCTCCTCCTCTCCAGCCCCTTCGCCTCCTCCCGCCTCCTCCTCTCTCTCCCTCCCCGCCTCCGCTCCCCTGCACCTTCCCTTCCCCTCTCAGTCCTTAACCTCCTCCCTCCCGCCAGCATCTCCCCCCTCTCCCAGCCCCGGGCTCCGCGCCCCTCTCCCTCCTCTCCGTGCCGGCCTGGAAAGAGGTGCCCTACGCCATCCTGGCCTCCACCCCCGGCACTCTGGACCCTTTCCCTCCCCTCCGCAGGGGTGGGGGCACCGCTTGTGAAAGGTGTTCCGAAGTGGGGTGGGGCGCCCTGCAGGGCTGGAGGACTCGTGGAGGGCGCCTGAGAAAAGTCCGCTTGCAAGGATAGGGGTGCGTGTATGTGTGTGTTCGCACGCGCGCGTGTCCGCGCGCAGGAGGGAAAAAGAGACTAGGAGAGACAGGAGATTAGTGCAAAGAGGAGTTGAGTTCTGGAAAATTGCTCAGGGTGGGGACGCTGCAGTGTCTGCTGCCTCAGGGGTGCCCTGTGCGGCTTCGCCGACAATCTTACCCTCGGGAGCAAGGAGCCCTGTCGCAGGCCCCAACCTGTGAAGGGAATGGTGGAGGCAACAGGAGCTCTTGCTCCCCTTCCCCTTCCAGGAGGCAAAGGACTTGTTGAAACACGGGAGAAATCTCCGAGAAACACTCGCTGTCAGTCCCCAGGAAAGTGCACCGAGGGCCCTTCTCTGATTCCTCCTCTCGCCCGCCCAAAATTTGATTTTATCTATGTTCTGTGGGCCTTAGGGGGGTATGGTCAATCTTACAGTGGCTTTTAAGACCCAAAGGCGGGAATGGCTTCCACTCCCTTGATTCCCCCAGGGCACGGGGACAAGCTGTTTCCGTTCATGGCAGCTACCCCGCTGGGCTGATGTGCCAGGGCTCTCTGAATTCTCTGGAGTCCTAGCCTCTGCAGAGCTCCTCCATGGGCCGTTCACCAGCTCCCTGGAGGTTTCTGCAGGCTCTTAGGCTAAATGTCACCCCCTCCTCACACTGGGATAAGGAGCAGCCACGGGACCAGATGGAATCAAGAGAACATTTCTTGACTCTGCCAGTGTTTTTCATAAATAAAACACTTAAAAAGAATGCCTAATTTCCCAAGAGAGTTCTCTGCCCCTTTGAACAATGTAACAATTCAACTCGTTATGCTCTAGACTTTCAAAACTAGTGGGACCTTAGCATGGGTGTAAAACTTCGTAAAATAAGGAAGAATATATTTGACTACTTTTCCCTTTCTTCCTTCCTTCCTTCCTTCCTTCCTCCCTCTCTCTTCTTTCTTTCTTTCTTTCTTTTTTTCTTTCTCCTTCCTTCCTTCCTTCCTTCCTCCCTTCGTCCCTTCCTTCTTTCTCTTTCTTCCTGAGAAAGCCATGGGACTTTTCATGGGATGGTGCTGATACTGTTTGATGTGCTTCAGTTTTTATCACCATCATTTTCATCTTTTCCATCTTTAATACGAGGGGATCATAACATGTACCACCTGCCTGGCTCACAAGGTTGTTGTGAGGATTCCAAGCCAATGTTTGCAAATCTCAGAGATGAAAGACTCTCTCACTGTGGGAGAGAAGGCAAGGTTGAGCCGGAGCATTCTTTTGTGCTGGGTTTGTTTTGCAGCATCTTTTGGGGCCCATTTTGTTCCCCGCCTCTGGCTTGTCCCCATTAAGAGGTTTGGGTAGCAGATTATGACTTGCTGGATTTGAATGTTGCCCAAAGGTCAGTCCAGTTTAAAGCAGGAACTTGGTTTCCTCACGAGTGCTGGGCAGTTGGAAATGATGTAAACAGACGACTTGGCTGCTTCCAGCAGAACATTCGCCTTGTCACCAAGAACCCATACTAGGCAGTGTTTAACTTTTCTATGCCTTCTAGTCATTTGATGCTTTTTAAGTCTATCAGCGAATATTTGAAAGAAGCAAACAAGAGGGGAGAACATTAGGGATGAATAAGAGACTGAGTTGATAGTGATTGAAAAAGGTTAAGGTCAGGGCGCCTGGGTGGCTCGGTGGGTTGAGCCTCTGCCTTCTGCTCAGGTCATGGTCTCAGCGTCCTGGGATTGAGTCCTGCATCGGGCTCTCTGCTCAGCGGAGAGCCTGCTTCCCCCCTCTCTCTCTCTGCCTGCCTCTCTGCCTATTTGTGATCTATCTCAAGTAAATAAAATCTTTAAAAAAAAAAAAAAAAAAGAAAAAGTTTAAGGTCATTCATAACATGTTAGCAGAAAAATTAGGTCATGTATTTAGTTAAATAATTATTTGGTTCTGTTATTTAAGAAAAAGAAGAAGAAAACCAGCAGGCCAGCCAAGAATTGGGTGTCATCTTGAGAGTCAAGTTCATTCAATTTTTGTTTTTCCAACTGGTTTTACTGGTGTGGTATAAACATAGCCAGAATGGTGTCATTGGTTTAAAATGTGTTTTGCCAGTTTATTTTCTACATGTAGTGTCATAGACTTAAAGGCTTGACCCTCAACGCTCCACATAATATCCAGCCCAAAACGCTGCTCCCAGAAATTCCCCATCGCCTTCTGCCTTGTCCTAGCTGTAGGGTTCACTCTCTGTATTCATTTTTGCTTTTGCCCTGAGTGTGCTCGCTTCTGGAAGGGACTAATGAAAACAACAGTAGGAATTTGTATTAGAGTAATTGTATAGTATGTGGCTAGAGTCATAGAATTGGGAGGGCCTTTTCTGGGAGGTAACAGAGTGGCAGTGAGTTCCAGCTCAGAAGTTGGCCACCTGCAAGGAATTTTCCCGGGGCCACATGCAAGGACCAAGTCCACATTCAACAACTCCTTGAGCAGGAGTGTGTGTAGCCAGGTCCTGGTGATAATGAGAGAGTCCCTAGCCCGGACAGCTGGACAAGATACCCTCACCAGTATCAACCAGTAAGTTGCAATAGTTAGAGCTACTCAACTAACTTTGGGCGTGTCGATGGGGAAGAGGAAAGTCAAAGGGGCTAAGTTCTCAGGCACGTGGCAAGTCAGGGGTGCACTTGGAGCTCCGTGATTATTCAATCACCAGCCCACGGGGCCTCTCACATGTCCAGGGAGTAGTCTTTTCCTACCATTACTGCTGATCCTAACTCTGAGCCTCTACATTCGACTCCGTCTCTGAGTCAGAACCACCCTCTTGCTCTTCCCAGTCACTCTGAACCATGAGCACATTTTCTGGAATGGACTGTACTGGCCACATAGCTTGAGAGGATCACCCTGGCTTGGTTTTCTTAGGAGGTTGTCTCAAGTATGACCGAGCAGAGTAGCGGAAAGCTCAACTGCGTTGATATCTCAGAAGGCACAAGGACCAATGTCCTTTAAAACCTGTGCCAAAATTTGGTTTCCCAATCAGTCCTTGGGAAAACTGACTGAAGGCATACCATCAGGCATGTCATTTGTAATGTTGAAGATTCCATGTCTTTCTTGGAGAAAATGATAGTGTCAAGAAGGGTTGGAGGAATGAAAACGTGAATTCTGTAGTTGAATTCAGTTGAAAGTCGAAAGTATTTTACTGCACCTATGAATAAAGTTGAAAGCATTTTACTGCACCTGCATCCTCAGAAGATGGGAAGGTTCACTGGGAATAGACTTTTCTCGAAACCTGCTGGAGATCAGTGACCAGCCTACAACACCGTGGAAATGCCTTTGAGTGTGGGAGACTGGAGGACAGGAATGGTGTCTAGTCATGACTCAGCCCCCCTTTGAGCACCTGTGTCAGTGTTCTCAGTCTTTTGCTCCCAGCAGGACTTCCGTAGTTGATAAAGACATTACATTTAGAAAATCTTGTACAGCTGATAACATTATCCTGAGAAGTCCTTAGAAAGGGACATATGTCTGACTTACATTTTAAAAATACATTTGCTGGAACAAACTCTATTTTGAAAATAAAGTGTGGTTTCTGAGCTGTGTTTCTGAGCGACATGGTCTTCTGAGCTTCAGAAATTAAAGGTTACGCTCCATTGCATCCTCTTGGCAGTTATCAGAGGAAACCACTAAAATGTCTGTGACCTTAGCATTCATTCATTCATCCAGTCAATCATCCAACACGTGACCACTGCTGAATATAGGTATATATGTACAATCATCCCAAAATAGGGAGAGAGGTATACGAGGATGGCCCAGCTTACCCATCCATTTATCCCGTGTCACAAGCCTTCGCAGGGCCAATGACAAGACTTGGGACCCTTAATACCGAAGGAAAATATGAGATCAATGGGGACAGGAGGCAATAACGGACCTCAGTAACATTTTTTGTTTATACTTTCATGTGCCCCTTAGAACATCTTTTCTTGTCCGCCTGGTTGCCCTGTAGGTCTAACTGCTTTATCTGCTTAACGAAATTACTTAGCTCTTGGAGGGCGGGAAGAAAATTGGGTATTATGTTTTTCTCTCCCCCCATCCCC